CCTCAAAGGGGCTCTTCTTAAAAGGGCATCTTCATTCTTAAAAGGGCAATCCTTCCATCTTTCCAACAGCCCAGCATGTTCACAACATCCTGATATTTTCCCAACAGCTCAACATCTTCCAAACAGACATGCATCTTCCCAGCAATTCAGTATCTTCCAAACAGTTTAGCATCTTCCCAACTTTCAACAGCAAGCATCATCCCAACTCATCTTCCTAACTATCCACATCTCAGCAGCCCAGCATCTTTCTAACAGTCCTGCATCTTTCTGACAGTCCTACATCTTTTCAACATTTGACATGTTCCCAGCATGGCAGCATCCCCGCATTTGCCAAACAGCCTGGAACTTCCTGACAGTCCTACATCTTTTCAACATTTGGCTTGTTCCCAGCATGGCAGCATCCTCGCATTTACCAAACAGCCTTGAACTTCCTGACAGCCCTACATCTTTTCAACATTTGGCATGTTCCCAGCATGGCAGCATCCCCGCATTTACCAAACAGCCTGGAACTTCCTGACAGCTAGCCCTACATCTTTTTTATGTCTGGGCGTTTTCTTAACACCCTAGAATCTTCCCAACAGATTGGCATTTCTTCCCAACTCTCAACAGCTCGGCATAGTCTCAACCAAATAAGCATTTTACTAACAGCCCTGCACCTTCTATCTTCCCTAAAGTATTAAGCTTGTGAAAACATTTTTTTCTTCCAGATTTTTGACATTCACATTCATTTAATCCTTTGAGAAGTTTTAGTTTTCTGTAAATTATTTGCTTTTTGAAATGTAGCCAAAGGCATTAAAGCATTCTGTAAGTATATTTATCTGCTAGGTAATTAAGTGCTTTTTCGCTATTTCCGCTCTTTAATCATAGTGTAAACAAAATAGAAAATAAAATTCTTCTACAAAAAGTGCAAATATTTTCAGCATTAAAACATGTTTTAGTGGAGACATTCTTATCTAAATACTGGTATTTCTAAGCTTTGGAAACTTTTAGATAATTGGCCATATTGTCTAACTAAATTGATGTTCTATTTTTTTCAGATGCCATATAGATATATGCATATAGATTTTTTCTATACATTTTGGTTCTGTAATAAAAAACATATGCAAAAGAGGAATTAAAAAATATGCAAAATGACAATGTTATTTTTTAAAATGTATACTGTATATTATACATTTCGGGGGGTGATTTTCATAGATGTTCAATTTTTTTGTAGAAATAACACTCTTTTCTTCATAATTTTATTTTCACTTTTTTTTTCAAACAAATCAAGTCTCTGCTCTTAATAAAATTTAACTGGCCATCAAAACCAAGAGGGTGGTTTGTAATTAGTCTGTGATGCAAATTAAAATACTTGAAAATCATCTAAAAACCATTCCTTTAGCATTATCATCTAAAAACCATTCCTTTGGCATTCTTGCATACTTGGAAATATTCAAATTGTTTGGAGAGATTTAAATTTTAAAGATTTCAGAAATATTCACCATTTTTATATAATTTGAGACAATTTTAGATTCCTGTACGAAAATGCCTACCCTGACTACACCCTGATTTGACATGGGATCAGAAATATATTCCCAGCCAGGTTTTTTATGCTATTCAGTTGACTATAGAGAAGACAGAAATCTATTTTTAGATTTTTTAGTATACAATATATAGTGTTTTCAGGGTGGATTCAACGAAATATTTAAATGAGCCAGAAAAAATACCACCCTGAAATGGAAATCCAGGGCAGAATTTTCCCTCGCACAGATTTCTAAAAATAGATTTACTTCTAGTTAAATTAAGAGCAATTTCAGGGTGGGATTAATATGAAATATTTAAATGAGCCATAATTCACCCTGCTTTCTGTTTAAAAAGTCAGGCCAGACTTTTTTCCTCCTGTTATTATCCCACCCTAAAATTTTGCAAATCCCACCCTGAAATTAAAATAAAAATCCACCCAGATTCCTGTTCTTTTTGATATTTGACAAAATAATAATTCAGATTTTTTTTCACTTATCTGTATTTGATTTTCATACAATAAAATACATTTCAAAAGTCATTCTTGTTTGATATTTCCACTTGGTAGCTGCACACTGTTTTTCATAATTCCACACTATAGTATTTGGACTACATTATCTGTAAACATATGAAAGCAGTTAAGGAATATGCTATAGAAAACTTTCAATTTATATATTAATCTAAAAGAAAAAGTAACACCTTAATACAGAGAATTATGTCCATACATGGTACATGTAGTTTTAAAGGTATAATATTTCATAAATTGCAATCAAAACTTCAAAAGAACAAATGATTGATGAAATTATTTTAAAGAAGCTACAGCATTATAAACATATATGTACCTTCCATAAAATTTGCAGGAATGAATAATTTTAATAATTAAAAGTAAATCTAATTTTGACAGAAAATGATAAAACTAAAAATTACCAGTAACATTTCCTCTATTGTATTCTTTTGTTCCAACTACACCATTTACTTCTGCTTCATCCTCTTGTCACATGTTACTGAAATATTTGCAGGCTTCAACCTAAATTTTGGAAGTAGAAAAAAACAAATATGCAATCATGTCATAATTTTTATTTCTAAAATGGAATGATCAAAATGTATAGTTTACTTAGAAAAATTAAGAATGATTTCATTTTCCCCTCCACCTCCATAATTAAAAACAGGTTTCCTGGAAAGTAACATATAATATTTAAAATCTTTTCAGAATACTGAGCTTACAGAATTCATAATTTTATGAAAAATTAAAAATATTAAGAACTGTAATTCAATTATAACTTACCATTTATCTGTTACAATTGGCTGCTTATTTCCCTCCATTTTTTCAAATTGAATAACGAAGTTTAACACATCTATTATTCTCCATGTTATATATAAGTTTCACAATAAATTTCCCAAGAAAGTTCTGTATAGCTGGGGTAGTAATTAATTCTTACATCCAATTTTCTATGTAATTATCAAAACTCATTTATGTATTAATATATAATTGTAAGTTGATTTATTTGAATAAAAATCACAACTAAAGCCTCCAATATTTCTAAAGAAAATGACCATGCTGGAAATAATTTTCAGGGTGTGATATTTGCTCTGGATTTTAAACTGCTGTCGGTCAATCTGTGGTAACTTCTCTATTTTCATCTGCCAGATAGCCCAGTTTAACATTAAGTATTTTGAAAAACACATGTACTGTACAAAATTCCAGTTGAAGGTTATATATTTGTTTATATAAACTAGAAGCTGACCGTAGAAGTAGGAGATTCTGTGCAGATTGTGAGATGATGAATAAAAACTAAAAATCTTGAACATTACTTATTGCTGACCAATTAATGCATTAAATGATAAATTGTTTGTCATAAGTTAAATATAAATACAATCATTTCATAAGTTAAATATAAATACAATCAATTACTAATAACAATTATCAATTTTATAGATAACAATAAATAATGTTGAGCTAAATAATCTACATAATTTCAAAAAAAAAAAAAAAAAAAAAAGAGAATAATTCAGTAAATGAAAAGAATTTTTGTTAGATAGAGTTTACCATAAATCAACTGAAACTTTCCAGAAGTAGACATTATAATATATTTTCTTCTGAATAATAAATTCAATTTTATCTGAACAGCAATGTAAACTGTACTATTAGTGTTTTACAATATTCATTTCTAATAACCCTAACTAAGAAAAATCAGGCTGGAAATGAAGAATTTTCTAACTTTGAAATATCTGGGTATATTTTGCTTATTAAAAAAATTTCTCCGAGTCAGTAAAATCTGTGTCAAAATATTTTCAAAGTGAAAATATTCCTGCTTCCACCCTGACTTTTACCAAAATGAAGACGATGTCAGGGTAGAAAAAACTTGAATTCCCATGTGAGATTTCTTGAAAATTCAGGGTCCATGTCTATTTCACCCTGATTTTGCCAATTCTGGTTCAAAACGGGCCTGAATCGGTCCTGTTTTTCATAAAAGCCATGCTGATTTTTCGTACAGGTACTCAGCAGGCATTTGTTTTAAACCCCCACATATATAATGTTGAAGTATGTTCCTACAATTATGATATTTACAGTAAAAGAATAAATATTTATTTATTCATACAAATGAATAAACAAATATATATATAAAAAAAACACATGTATGTTGGTTCAGTTTTATGTGTACCTTCATTTATGTGATGAAATAATTACTTATTCAAAATACTTATAAATTCTTATTGATTATAATAAAGTTTCACCCGATGTCAGCCAAACTGATTGAAAATATTAAGTGGAAAAATGTATATGAATTACTGAGTGTTAATTTGAATAATAAAAAGGTTTGAGTTTTGTCATAATACATATTTTGTGAGCTCTTTGTGCATATATTATGTTACTTTTAGGATATTATTATGCAAACAGTTTTCAATTATATTATGCTAAAGAGTCATTTTCATCTTATATAATAAATAACATAATTTATGTCAATCTTATAATGCAGCATTTGATGTCTGTGCCCTAACATTCCTTTATTGAACAGTTAACAAACTTTAATTCACTGCCATCTTCAAGCCAGAGCAGAAATATTGAGAAATTTTCATTTAATGTATACAAGAATTTCCCGCAGAATGTTGTCCCTGTCAATGGTCTGTCAGCATAATCAATTCAGAATTATTGAACGCCTCTGAATCCACTCTCGAACCATCTTTGTTATTCACTGCCAAAGTATGTGTGGGATATTAGCATTTCCATATGAAAATCGTATTATTATAATTTCCACTGTGTCAATGTAAGGTTGACTTCGTATATTTATTAATTTATTATTCTAAATTCTGTCATCTGAATTATTAATTAATGTATTTAATGAGAAATTTTCTATGTGCAACGTGAATACCATTAGCAATCATTAAAATGGATGCTATAGAAATTTTCCAATACCTTTTAGTAGGGAAATTGTCACAATCACGTATCATTTCTATTATAAGCTATTTGTGCTGCTATGATCCTGTGCCGTTTTTTTCAGGAGATCAGAGATTCTATATTAAAAGCAGTGGAAATTGGCTACATGAACGTGGATTATATTTCATTATCCCGCCGCATTCTACATCATGGATGCTGATTCTAATGATGGAACTGTGACAGAGTCCCTGAACGGTGAGACCAAGCCTGATGTTGCCAAACTTGCACAATCTGCCATCATCAAACAGGTTCGTGAAACTTTATCTTCCGTTTTTGTTATATTTTCCTGCTTAGCCTCCATCTTGTTTCTGTTCTATGTTCCTTAAATATTCAAATTTTACGTGTCTGTAGCTCCACGCGTATCTATATTGTGCCTTTTCCCGTACAATACAGCCAGGTAAATATGAAATTTGAAAGGCTCATTAATATATCTATGTTAATTATATGACCCAATGTGACTATGTGAGTGGTGAATAGAATCTTCGTTGCTAAAATATGTACATGATAACTAAGTACATGTACTAGAATTTCATTAGTATTCGCCATACCTTCTCACTTGAATGAGAAATATACTTAAATATTTAGCATTTCTTGATGAGCAGAAAACGTAGGGCTGGAAAATTTGTCGTTTTAGAAAATATCATGTGTTTGGATTGATTTAAGAATTCCCAAGATGTCAAAATGGAAAAATCACAATTTAGAATATTTGTTTAGCAGTATTGATTGTGGGGTAATTAGTGGATTATTAGTTTGACAACATTCTTTTGTGCTACAAAAGGCATTGTCCTTCTTATGGTGTAATTTCGAAAAGATCAAAATGGCCGTAGTTGAACTTTGTTTAGATTTTGTGGATTTTTACACAACTGACAGGCTAGTTATTAGGAAATTGATGGACAACTTGTCTTTTAAGAGGTTTCTTGAGGGAGTAAAAGGTTTGTTGATAATTTTTTATCCTGATTTCTTTTTTTTTCTTCACAATTGCATTTGTTGGCATTAAATTCCTTGATTTAGCATAATGTATTGAAAGGAGAAATAAGAAATTGAAATATAAATGTACATATTTCTAGTTTATTTTTATTTGTTTAATGAGATGATGGTATACAAGTAAATCTAGAAAAAACATTTATTTGCAAGATATTTTGCTAAGGTTCTTAAAGATGGGATTGATTGAAGGGAATATATTTCTGAGACACTAAAAATAGAGTTGTATATAGGGAAGTGCTGCCCTCAGTAAAGGGTGTAGGTAAGAGAGGCCCTTAAAGAAAGACTAAGGGGTAAGATATGCAGGTATAAAATCATGCTAGAAATAAATTAAATTAACATTTTATATTAACATTATATATTATAGTTGTGTAAGAAAATGAAAAAAAAACACAAACAAACCAGTAAACTTTGATACTTTTTATCCTGAACAAAAAACAACAACAACAAAAAGAACAACAAAACAAAAAACATGGCATCTATGTATAAAAAATTAGTTTCTATAATTTTTTAAGTTACATAATGTAAACATTGCCCTTTATATGAAAACATGGGTGATTGGGACCTTTTAAAGATCATAATCTTATACATTTATTTCTTTTACTGTTTCTCTCCCACCCCCTTTCTCGAATCTTACCTCCAAAGATCCTTGGAATATTTTTTTACCTTTCTGCTAATGAGATATTTACAAATAGGGCAGATATGCCTGTCTTAGATTTATTGATATGGTGGAAATATTAATGAAAGCAATTTACTTCAATCTCTTATCATTTCTTAGTAGGAGGAAAAAACTACATTTTATGTGTTTAAGATAAGCTGCATACAAATGAATAGTGCTTTATCTATTGAAGTTAAGAAGTAGGAAATGAAATGATTTTTTTTTTCATAGAAAATTTGTACTTAATAGTCTCTCTGTACTGGAAGAAGATGGTAATCTTTCCAATTTGTTACTTGTTAACCCTTAGAAACATGCTGAATTTTTTGTCAAAGTCTTCCATTTACAGAGTGCTATTGTGGTTTTGGCACTTTAAAAAGAAAAAAGAAGCATTGTCAAAAGATAAGGAATTTACAGGTTTTACCATTTACATGAAACTAGATGATTACATTGCTCCTAGAAATACTATTCCAATTCTGCTTTAATAGTAAAACCATTGCAATGAAATAATTTATGTGTAGGTTAGATAGATGCATAAAGAGAGGTCAGTTTTAACAGACTTTAATTTAGTAGCTGCTGACACTTGTGTCTGGCCAGCCTGCATGGATAATACTGGTTCTCGGAGAGATGATATTATCCCAGCTAAACCTAGAAATAACCAATGCACATCAATTGTGAACTTCTGTTTATTTATTATTTGTACATTTATTAAGAGACAAAATATAGAAAGTTATTTTTTCTGAAGCTAATCTGAAAGAACGTCCCTCATCAGTTACAAGTTTTGATTGAGACCAACTTAAAACCAGTGTATAATCGCTTGGACTTCTAATTGTTGGTGTAGTTATAATTATAGTTACAGGTATTGAATAACTTTTTTTTTCAGTACTAGGGACTTTGATATCATCTTTCATATGAGTTAAGTCTAAAACAGGAAAGTTTATGGGAGATCTGAGTGGTTATATTTGTTTGTTATTGCTTTAAGTTAAAATCATGTATGGGAGGGACGTACAACCTAAATTTGTGAAATATAATATGTTCATTTATAGTGGCCCTGGAAAACGATATAGGCGATACTTTCAGAAGGCTGATAATAATTTTACTTTCAGAAGCATCATGCAAGGGATACTGAAATGTTGACTCCATTCAAGGAGCATTTGTGTAAATCACCATTTCAGGGGACTTAAAAGTAATTTTAGTTGAAGCAGAGTAGTTTTATTTGGAGTAGCTGGGATTGAACTTGCAACCCCTAGATTTTCAATCAAGTGTGTGAGCATTTGACCTTTGTGTCTGCTCTATGGAAATCTTAGGTCTTTCTTACCAGTATACATAATTATAGTCATGTGACTGATTGTAAAGGTATCATTCTGTGCAACTTGCAAACCAAACTTATCTGTTCACCATTGATTATATGAAATTGTTAGTAAATTTTCAGTTCTATATTAAAGGTCTTGAAGGACCAACTTCTGAAGGGGAAGGGGGTCAATTAGGCGATGTAATCTATCAAGGTTGCTAATAGTTTTATTATTAAGTTGTTTTATTTTCTCTCAGATAAAAAAAATAATTAATTTACTGAAAGCTGTAATAGTTTTTTGGCAAATAAAGCTTAAACTATGCTTGGAAACAGATGGTTTAAGTCAAAACAAACTTGAATAATGTATTTTTGTTATTTCTATTTATCAAATTATCTTTGAATGCATTTATCAATTATCCATTAGGGTAATGAAAATAAACATATGGAAAAAATTGAGATGCTTTACTTAAAAATCAGAATTGAATAAGATAAAATTTAGAAGAGAACTTGACTATAAGTATAAAATAACAGTTCCGGTAATTAACCTTTTCTTTCCTAGCACTAAATGAATTTACCCATGTCCATGTGTCAATGTGACCAATGCTGACCAGTCAGCATTTCGTGCCATCTGATCCTGGCTTAATGTGCTGTTTACAGGTTTTGAAATTGTCGCTAAAAATGTTGAATGACAAATTTTTGTTGGTAAGATATTGTTTGTTCCATGCATGTATGTGTTACGCAACAATGAATTTATTGTTTTAATATTTGCAAAATCCATCAATAATTTAATAATTGTATGATACAGTATTAACGTATATATATATATTTTATAGCGATATTTTTAACTACATTCATTCTTTAACAATTCAATTTTATTACATGCCTGTTTTTCTTTAAAAAAAATTTTTTTTTTATTTCCGACCTGGGATTTGTGAAAAAGTTTTTAGGATATTCTTCCATTATAGTGCCGATGACTGTGGAATTTTTCCCCCCAAATAGAGCCCCCATTGTCTCCTTCAATGATGTGATCTGGAGGAATTTTCTGTGGCTTCGTTTATTTTAATTGTTAGAAATGAGCTGTTGCAGTAACTTAGACTGTATTGGTTTATCCTGAAAATCAATATCTCTATTTTCTGGAATTTTTGAGAACCAGTGCCCTGAGATAGAATTATAGTTAAAGTTCCATTGCATATTTTCAGAATGATTGATATTGAATTTTATCGAGTCAGATTTAAAGGGCGATGTATAAGATTTGTCATGTGGTATTATAGCACTCATAATGTGATTATATTTCAAGCATGTATCTAGAATTTCTAATTTCAATATGAATAATTCAATTCCTAGTGGACTTCAAGACTGTAACCTGAATGCATTAAATTAATGCATGGAAATGATAGTAAATTTATAATGTTATATTAACCCTCTGCAGCTTTGTTTGAATAAGACTAAGAATATGATGGTCAGGACACAAAGTCTTTTGCTGATTTTGTAATTAACCCATTACTTCATAAGCATTATGTGAAAAATGGCTGTTTTCATTGAAAAGCCTCCTGTTTCAAGTTCAAACTGCTATAAAACTATAAAAAATGCTTCAATACTGATCAAACTTGGCACAAATGTTGACTGGACCATAGCTTAGGTAACAGCATGCTCAATCCTAAATTTCCTGTTACCTGTAATGGGGGGATTTCTCAAATTGCCAAAAATCGCTATTTTTCGTTGGTTTTTTTCCATCAAAACTGCTTTCAAAGTGCATCGTCGGATACCCACGATTGATAAACATGTTACATAACATGCAATCAATGATGATAATGGTTCGGCCGTGGGTATCCGACGATGTCAAAGTGCTGCAACATCTCAATGGATTGAGAAACAGTCAAAGGCTTTTCAGTGTTGGCTACATGTTACCTTAAGATCGACCTGAGGCCATTTTTAGCCCAAAATTTTCTTGGCATACCTTTTTGATAGGGGGCAGCACTGAAAAAGTGATCTCTTTTATTAACAGCATTTCTCAAACGAAAAAAAAGTGTTTGGGGCCTAAATAAGGGGGCGGGGGATGGGGGGGGGATGGGGGGTGAAAAGCCGTCAAAACATGTCTATATGAAGTAAAGGGTTAATGCTTTCTTATGCTTTGTTATTTGTATTGCATACATTAGAATGATGGAATTTCATATGAAATAATTAAAACATTGCTTGTATAGAACTTTATCTTTTATTTCAGAAAATATAGGGTTAATTCTGAACAGATTTTTTGTTCCCCACCCCTCTCCCCCTATAATCTGTTACAGGTTGTTTTTATAAATCAGGAGAAATTGACCAAATAATTATCAAGCTGCAGGCAGTCATAAGAGATTATATTGAACAAATATAAAACATTATAGCAATAAGAGATATTGCAAATCAATAGATACAGATCAGTTTTCATTTTAAACAGAATATCTCATTATCATTACAGGCAATAGATTGGAAATACATGTTATAGATTTATTCCTCCATCTCACATATAGATCTACCATGATTATTTGACTGTATTAATAAAAAACTAGAAAAATTAACCAATTGTTTAGGTTCTTAGTGAAAAAAGATCCACACACCTATGAAACATAAATTAAGGTCATTGTTGGTGCTGCTATAAAGTTATTGATCTTGTTTTGTTGTACAATTATTCAACATTGATTAAATGGGTTAAAATTATCTTTGGAATAACTAATTAGTCAATTTATCATTTTACATTTATACATTGTCTGCATCTCATATTGATTTCCAATTGGGATATAATTGGTTGTTTATCCTGAAAAAAAATCTAACTGAATTCCATTCTGCTGCACACTTTCTATAGATCATGTGGCCAATATTGATCAGATTAATTGATTATTTTGGTCATAAATATCTTGTCATCATCAATGTTTGATATTGATTATGCATCAAAATGTTTGTTTAAGGTGATTAATTTTGTTGCTGTAATTGTACAGCTTTGTTCACACTTAAAACAGGTGGTTCATCCCCTTGGATACAGTTGATTTTGGTTATTGTTAAGGATGTACAAAAAACTTTTTTTGTGATTGTCTGATATCTAGAGATGAAATAAAGCAGAAAATAAAGTTAATATTATGAACTTGTTCACAATGTTATTAATTTATTGAATGCTAGGATACTAGATTGTTTACTTTAGTTTGACATAAAGGTTTCATTCTCCTGTCCAGTCATTACTGTTACTATCATGACACATATCTTCTATTTTGAGTACAGTTTTCCTCCCAAATAGTCTTCCAAGGGTCCTGAGTTAGGCTGCACTTTTTAGCTCACCTGTCACAAAGTGACAGGGTGAGCTTTTGTGATCACTTTTCGTCCGGCGTCCGTCTGTCGTCCGTCCGTCCGTAAACTTTTGCTTTAAATTACATCTCCTCATAAACCACTGAGCCAATTTCATCCAAACTTCACAGGAATGTTCCTTTGGTGGTCACCTTTAAAAATTTTTCAAAGAATTTAATTCCATGCAGAACTCTGGTTGCCATGGCAACCAAAAGAAAAAACTTTAAATATCTTCTTTTAAAAAACCATAAGAGCTAGAGCTTAGATATTTGGCATGAAACATCTTCTAGTGAGTGTCTACCAAGTTTGTTCAAATAAAAGCCCTGGGGTCAAAATTGGCCCCGCCCCAGGGGGGCATTGATTTTCCCTATATACATATAGTAAAAACTTAAAAATCTTCTTTTAAAGAACCCAAAGAGCTAGAGCTAAGATATTGGGCATGAAACATCTTCTAGTGAGTGTCTTCCAAGTTTGTTCAAATAAAAGCCCTGGGGTCAAAATTGGCCCCGCCCCTGGGGGTCATTGATTTCCCCTATATGTATATAGTAAAAACTTAAAAAATCTTCTTTTAAAGAACCCAAAGAGCAAGAGCTAAGATATTAAGCATGAAACATCTTCTAGTGAGTGTCTACCAAGTTTGTTCAAATTAAAGCCCTGGGGTCAAAATTGGCCCTGTCCCGGGGGTCATTGATTTTCCCTATATGCATATAGTAAAAACTTAAAAAAATTTCTTTTAAAGAACCATAAGAGCTAGAGCTTAGATATTTGGCATGAAACATCTTCTAGTGAATGTCTACCAAGTTTGTTCAAATAAAAGCCCTGGGGTCAAAATTGACCCCGCCCCAGGGGGTCATAGATTTTCCCTATATGCATATAGTAAAAACTTAAAAAATCTTCTTTTAAAGAACCCAAAGAGCTAGAGCTAAGATATTTAGCATGAAACATCTTCTAATGAGTGTCTACCAAGTTTGTTCAAATAAAAGCCCTGGGGTCAAAATTGGTCTGCCCCAGGGGGTCATTGATTTTCCTTATATGCATATAGTAAAAACTTAAAAAATCTTCTTTTAAAGAACTCAAAGAGCTATGGCTAAGATATTTAGCATGAAACATGTTCTAATGGGTGTCTACCAAGTATGTTCAAATAAAAGCCCTGGGGTCAAAACTGGCCCCGCCCGGGGGGGGGGGGTCATTGATTTTCCTTATATGTGTATAGCAAAAAGTTAAAAATCTTCTTTGGAAAAACCCAAATAGCTAGAGTTTAGATATTAAGCATGAAACATCTTTAAGTAAATATTTACAAAGTTTGTTAAAATAAACGCCCGGGGGTCAAAACTGGCCCTGCCCCGGGGGTGTCATTGTTTTTAACTATATGTGTATAGTAAAAACTTTAAAAATCTTCTTTTAAAAAAGCCAATGAGCTAGAACTTAGATGTTTAGTATGAAACATCTTCTTATGGGTGTCTACCAAGTCTGTTCAAATAAACAAATAAAAGCCCTTGGGTAAAAATTGGCCCTGGGGTGGGGGGCCTATATACAGGTGAGCGACCTCAGGGCCATCATGGCCCTCTTTTTCTTACTATTATCTTATGATATTTGGTGCTGAATTGAAGACTGGTAGTAAATTGCTCTGGGTGATATTAATTTGTACTTGATTGAAATTCAGAAGACAAACCTCAAATCGAAGGGAAATGTGTTTTGGTTATGTTACTATTTTCTCTAATAGGTCAGAAAATGTGTAGGCAGCTAGGTAGCTCTTCTGGTATGGTATTATTGTGTTTACAACTATAATACCAAAATTATCTCACTGTACATCCCCACCAAAACAAACCAAAAAACAAATACATTGTGTGATACTGATAATATCATAAGTCTGTTACAACAATTCTTTATTACAGGGTGGGTTATGCTATTTTAGCCACTCACTCAGTCCCTTGGCAACGCATCCTCTTTTGTTACAAACCACGGATCTTGGGCTCTGCTGGGGTCAACTTTGGGGCCACCATCTCTTTCCCGCCCGGGTATCAGCGTTAGACCAACACATGGTCAAAAGAACCAAAAAAAAGACCAAAATGGTTGGTTATCTCAAACTTGACTGGTTTTATAAGAAATAAAACAGACTTAACCCTATTTTTTATTAAACAACTTTGCCTATGATGTTGCACTATAAAGCATAATTTATATCCTTTATCATTTAAATGTTTTTGTCATTAATAACTCAGGCCTCGGTCATTGTATTACTGCCATCTAAATTGGAACCATAGTATTACAGTCATGTATTCTACAAAAACACACTCAAAATTGATATTTACTAGTATTCAATAAATATGCTCTTTCAAAATACAAAGAAGGACAAGTCCATTTATTTAAACAAATTTATCAAAGTAAGTGTTAAAAAAATGAGACAGATTTGTCAGAAATGGCTATGATTTGTTTGAAGTAAGGAAATATGAATGCATGTTAAGTATTGTTATATTATTGCAGGAGCAATATCATCATTATCAAGTCCTTCCCAGCTGTTTGGTCAACCACAAGTGGCGCCACCTCAGTTTTTTCTCACCGGAAATCCCCTCCAGTCACAAACCGGAGCATCTGGATCAGTTCCAGTTCAACAACTTCTCATCCCAGTCTCCACAGGTATTTATCATCATTGTTTTTAAAGGCACATTATGTCTCAGAAAGGACTTTAAAAGGGCTTAAAGGGACTTTGTGTTACTGTTAAATAATGGTTTATTCTTATTACTTGAAAAATGTAGTGCTGAATGTGAAATTACTTGTCAAAAAGTAACAAAATGTAAAACAAACTTAATACTGTGACTTCCATTATAAATCAGTATAATTGTGCTAATTGTCAAAAACCAGCAGAAGCAAAAGTTGATTCAGGTACTTGGCCAGTGAGTAACTTTTTAAAAATTTAAATAAAACACCAGAATAGAAATAAAAATAAATGCATATCAGGGCATAGTGGGCCTTTAAACGAATAAAGCTATTTTTTTTATCTTCATAATGTATCTTAAGATCATGATGATTGATCTTTAGCTAGTATTACTTTATTCTATACTGATTAAGATGCTTTGGTTACAGTTTTCAAATTAAGTTAGCTCATTTTTGCATAAGCTGTATTCTTTTTAAAAAACCCCTGTTTCGTCAGCCAATTCTTGTTTTAATTTTAAGGGGTTTAATAGGGTTGAAAACCCCATTTTTAAAAAAACACAATGTGCCCCCCTCTCATTATACTTGGGAATATTTTTGGGATCTATTTGAATTTATTACAAAATTCTTTGAAAAGGGAATTACCCCCGCAGTTTATCAGCATTCCAGTTTCTATGGCAACTGGTGGGAACCAGCAGATACAGTTGTTGACAACATCAAATGGGCAGATAGTTGCAACAAATCTTGCCAACCTAGCAGGTCTATCTAATCCACTTAGTGCTAGTCTTGCTAACTCAGGTAAATGATTCACCTTTCTTACTAGTAATTCAAGAAAACTTCACACCATTTTCCTAACCCTTATCCTACTGGAACTGAAAGTGTTTAGCCTGAAGCCACCAGTAAAGAACCTGGCCAGCCTGCAAATCTGTGCAGTCTTACCATTGTTGATGCTGTTGGTAGCTCAAATTTTTATATCTTGTTATTTGAATCCCTTGGAGTTTGAACAGATAATTCCATATCAAAAACTGGGAAGATGCAGTACACAAATTGAGCAGTTTTTTAAGGATTACTGTAAAATCATTATTATTCGTGGGGCACGAATTTTCGTGGTTTTCGTGGGTAGGTCAACCCCCGAATTTATTTAAGATCGACGAACTTTTATCCCAACAATTACGCCTTACCCAGGATCTCTGTTCTTATATTCCCAAACATGCTTCGCTCTTTTCAGGCCCCGGTATTTCGTGAAATGGATGTAAAGGTCAAGGGGACAGATAACCAGGTTTTACAGGACATAATAAAATCCGTTTGCAATATTTTAAGAAACTTTGAAAGAAAAACATCGACTTTATGATCCTCAAATTTACTGTCAACAAATGTCGCATCTACATACTTGATCTTGTAGGTCTACTGGACTTGTTTGTGTTAGCAAGGAATACTTAATAATCGAGTAAATATGGGGAACCCAGGCAGTGCAATAATTAGCGCGGCAACAAAAAATTGTCAGTTTGCTCTTATTACTCGACTATTCGAAAGAATTGAACTATTTATCGCCCCGCACCAGTCGGCCCGTCAGCGTCCGCGTCGGCTCTCATTGGTTTAAAGTTTTTTTTTGTAAAAGTCAAAATATCTCAATTTATTACTTGAATATTCAATTTGAAACTTACATTACTTATTATAGTAACAAGGTACATCAGTTTGACAAGTTGGATGATAACTCTGCCTACAATATTGACAGAATTTCCCCTTTTTTAACTTTTTAGAAATTTGGGGGGTTAAAGGGGTTTTTGTAAAGTCAAATATCTCAATTATTTTGCTGGAGATATTCAATTGAACTTAACTTGTACAATACTTATTTTCAAGTAACAAGGTAATCAGATTGACAATTGGGATAAACTTGCCTAACAATTTTGAGAGGAATATGCCCCCCCTTTTTTAACTTAAAATTTTGGGTTTTAAAGTTTTTTTTAAAGTCAAATATCTCAAATTATTGCTTGAGATATTCCCCAATTGAAAACTTTACAATACTTTATTTATAGTAACAAGGTACAATCAGTATTTTGACAAATTGGATAACTCTGCTTACAATATTGGACAGAATTATGCCCCTTTTTAAAACTTAAGAAATTTTGGTTAAAGTTTTTGCTAAAGTGAAATATCTCAATTTTGCTGCAGATATTCAAATTGAAACTTTACAATACTTATTTATAGTAACAAGGTACATCAGGATTGACAAGTTTGGGATAACTTGCCTACAATATGACAGGAATTTATGCCCCTTTGGAACTTTAAGAAATTTTGGGTTAAAGTTTTTTTATTAAAAAAGTCAAAAATTCAATTATTTGCTTTGAGATATTCAATTGAAATTTTTAAAAATATTTTTTTATATAACAATGTAAACATCAGTTTGCAAAATTGCATAACTCTGTCTGGGCAAAAATTTGCAGAATTATTTGCCCCTTTAAAGTTAAGAAATTTTGGTTTTTTAAATGTTAAAAGGTCTTCAAAGATATTTACTTGAAAACTTACACATGCATTTAGGGTTCATTTTAATTTGTGAGTCATTAATTGTTATGTCACGCCAATTCCATAACTCTATCTTGCATTAAGGCTGATTTCATATTCCCTTTTCTACTTAGTCTCTTGGTTTTTGTTACATGCAAGTTTAATATCTCAATAAACTATTTAAAGATATTTATTTAAAAAACTTCACATATGCATTTTAGGGTCATAATTGTAGGGTCACTTACAAAAGATCCAATAATATCTATCTTGCATTTTGCTGATTTTTCTCCCCTTGTTCAACTTAGAAATTCTGTTTTAAAGTTTTGCTTGTAAGTGTTATCTCAATAACTACTAAAGGGGGTTTGTTGCCTTTTTTGGGACAATTTTATGCATTTTTAATAATAAAACATGAATTTTCTTTATAAAACTCTTAAAAACAAGCCCTTTTTACCTTTCTGTCAAAATTTGTATTCTGGGTTTTTAGATTTTATACCAATAAAACCCCCCTTTGAATTACCTTCCCAATAGTCAAAACCAAAACTTAAATGGCCTTTTAAAAATAATTTATAAAAAAAAAATTTGGCCCCTTTTTTAACTTAAAAAAAAAATTTAAAATTATGAAGGCTCTTTTACATCAAAGCACTTAGAATAGTCGAGCTGCTGTCCTACTGACAGCTCTTGTTTAATTTTTAAAAAAATTTTTAAAATTAATTTCGCAAGACACAAACTATAAAAAAAAAAACGACGCTAAAAAGATTATTGTACTTTCTTTTTCGTTTTTAAACTCACCTTTTTTTTAAAGAAAAAGGGGAGCTATCCTACTCCCCCCGGGCCGGGGCGGGTTCGGCGGCCTGACGGGTTAGCGTCGCGTTGGCGTACAAAACCTTGGTTAAGTTTTTTCGTACCACCCCCCCTTTTTTTCAGAAGTATTTCAAGTATGGGGTTTGAAACTTTCCATACTTGTTCACCCTCATAACCCCCCTCTACAGACAAAGTACATAAATCTGTCAAGGTTTTTGACAAAATTATGGCCCTTTTTTGGGGTTAGGGGAAAGTGTATTTTAGCTTGGTTAAGTTTTTTTTACCACCTTTTACTTTATTTCAAAACAGGAGGTATTGCTTTTAAACGACCCTACTTGTTTACCATTTTTCGACCTTCATCAAAAGACAAGGGAATAAAATCTTTTAAGTTTTTGCGTTATTTCCCCTTTTTGACTAAAAAAAAAAATTGAAATATGGGGGAAAAAATCCACTTATTGCCCTGCTAAACCCTTTCTGAGATATTTTCTTTTGAAACTTTTTTTAAATGCTATTTCATCGATCATTTCCCCCGATCTGTACGCAAAGAGAAGGTAAAACCTTCTGATCAAGAGATTGTTTTTAAAAATTAAGGCCTTTTATCGCTTAGAATCTTGGGTATAAGTTTTTAGACCAGTCCCACTTTTGACTGGCAACCCCTGTTTGAGATAATTAATTTTGAAAGTTGAAATACTTGTTTACAATTCATGATTTCCCAAACAATGCTCCAGGAGAAGGCGCTTTAAATTTTGTCAAAGATTTTTATTTGAATTCATGGCCCTTTTAACTGTCAATGTTTTGGTTTATTATAGGCAAGGCACTAAAAAAACTTAAAAATCTTTAAAAAAAAATTCATTCCTATCCACTTGTTCACTTTACCATAAATTATATGTCATATAAACATTTTCTGTAATATTCAAGGGTACAAAAACAACTATTAAATTTTAAAAAAAAATACGGGAGTTTTCTTGTATTGCCTTTTTCCCTGAAAAAAAAATTTTTTTTTGGGGCAAGCAAAAAAAAAAAGTTCGAGCGGGGCTGTCTTACGGAAAAACTCTTTTTAAAAAATGATCCAGTTTTTAAAAAAATTTTAAAAATCTGAAATTTGAGGGGGAATCTTTCCTTTAAAAACCAACAAAGGGGACGCCACCAAAACTTTTACAAGATCCACATTTTACTTGTGTTTTTTTTAAACCGGAAAAAATTTATATCCCATGAAAAATTCCCCCAAAATGGGCTTTAAAACCTTGCCTGTAAATTCTAAAATTATTTAAGCCAAATTTTCGGGGGTGAAAAATTTTTAAACCCTTCGCGGGGTTAAACCCCCGGCCCAAAAGGTTTGCGAAAAATTATCCCGATTTTTAAAAACATCGGGGGGGAATTAACAGGGGCTTTGGGGTAAAAAAATAGAGGGGGAAATTACATTTTCACAAAAAATTTGTTTTTTTTGAAATCTTTTTATGGGGGCAAAAAAACTTTTTCTATATTAGGGGGGGTTTTTTCCCCCAAGGGGGCCCCAAGGGGGTTTTTAAATTTATTGACAACCTTTTGGTTGGGAAAAGTAAAGAAAATGTCATTTTGGGTTTAAGGGTTAAAAATGTTGGGCGATTAAGATTACTTTCCCTTTGGGGTTACGGGGAATTTTTTAAAAAAAAGGGAAAACCCAAAAAAATCAAAAAAAAAATTTAAAAGAAACCCAGGGAAAAAAATTTCCCTTTTTGTTTAAAAAAACCACAAAAAACCCAATTTCCCAAAAAAATTTAAAAAGGGGGAAATTCGCATAACTTGAGTAAAAGTTTAAATTTTCTCTTTCTTAAACCCCAAAAGTAGCTTATACCTTTTGCTTGTATTGCCATGGAAAAATAAATAATTTTGTTCCTAGTCAGTATAACTGTGCAATAAGTGTCTTTGTTATTGTTACATTTAAAATACACTTTTTCCTTTCTTTTTATTGATAAATTTTGTCATCTTTGTAATCTTTATCTGTATATTTTGCTGTAAATTTTAAATTAAAACTGTCTATTTTAACCATATTTTCAGTAAACAATTTGGCTAGCCAATCATTGCTACAGAATTCATCCTCCCATCATTCCTCAGCAACACAAGCATTGACCAATCATCTTGCAGCAGTGGCTCCCTCTTTGTTAGCTGCTGGTGCCCAGAGTCAACTTCTAGCCGGTCTTGGCCAACAGGTAAATGCTGCATTTTTTATAAAATCTGCGTTTTAATTAGAATATCATAGATAGACATGTATCAGATTGGTGTATGTTATTTTGACCAAAACCAACTCAAGATATGTAGTCTATCTACTTCTTTATAATGACTATTTTCAATGTACATGTATTTTTAAAATTCAAAGTTTTCAATATCTCAGGTATTTCAAAATCTTGGTCTTACAAATATTTAACAGATTTATAACAGATGTGAACAGTTGCTGAAATTCAGAACTGAACTACTCACAGATTTTAAACTAACTGTAAACTACACATTTTGACATCACTAGAGAGCGCGAGTTAATTAGGTCAATAATAATGTTATATGTTTTACAGCTTTTATCACAAGTATCGTTAGCTCAATCAAATGGGACAAACTCACTTTCACAGTCTAGTCAGGTATCTAACTCATCGGCCAGCCAGACTCAGGCTGTCCTAAACTCCTTACAGCAAACATTGTCGGCTGCGAGTGCAGGTCAGAATGGTATCACAGTTCAACCGGCATCAACACGTATTTTAACACAGAATCTCAACAACACAGCTTCTTCATTAAACTCATCCAACACGACAACTCAGTTACTTGGGAAGATTTCAGAAATCGGGGCATCAGGTCATACCAACACGGCTGTAAATTTAGCCAATCAGATATTAGCAACTCGTGTAACGTCAACACAGCTTATTAATCATGTGCCATCTTCATTAGAAGGATTGATGCCAAGTATGATTTTCTCTTTATATATGATTATTATATGCATAGCTAGAAAATTAAAAAATTAATAATAAGTCTTTATTTATAGGGACTTATGAAGGTAGTTTACTGAAACACACTGCATTTCCTTGACTTAAAACCAAAAAACCTTGAGTGACTTAAAACTAAAAAAAATGACCTAATTGTTAAATATGTATGCTTTTAGGTCTAGGGATAATAAACTCAAGTTTAGGTTAAGGGGATATTCCTACATTATGTTATCAGTATTGGTTAATTGTAGTTGGATTTTGCAAGATTTTCATGATAAAGCAAAAATGAATATACACAATGTAAACTATGTTTGAAAAAATCCAGAAAACAGTATGTAACCCTCTGAGTTTGAGTTTATTTTCATATGATGTTGACCATTTATAGATACTGTGGGTAATTCAACTGAGAGTACAACAGTGGATGGTATAAACCTTGATGAGATAAAAGAGTTTGCAAAACAATTTAAAATCCGGAGATTATCTCTTGGCCTCACTCAGACTCAGGTGGGGCAAGCTTTAAGTGCAACAGAGGGACCAGCCTATTCCCAGTCCGCCATTTGTCGGTAAGTTAATCTACAGTTTTCAAAGGTTGTTGAATTTATCTGTGTAAGGAAGCAAGAACCTACGTTATAGTCTGTATAGCTGAAACAAACAATAAATTTATTCCATAACCAATGACCCTCTGTTCATTATATGAAAATAAAAGAAATATCCCCTAAATCCATAATTGTAGAACCTCTATAATGTTAAGCTTCTGCTATGAATGTTATTCTACCAAGATGCATGAATGTGTACTATATTTTATATCTAGAAGGCTGATAATAAGAAAGGGTTTGTATTTACAGTAAAATCTGCACTCTACACAATTTTATATTTTTTTTTTCAGAAATGTCTAGCTTTGTAATTTAAAATGATTGTTGTCTTTTGTCGTCCTTAAATAGAGGATATTAAATGAGTGTAGTTTAATACTAAATTTATTGAACGAGTTTAATAAAATCATATTATGCGAGCCTCTGGCGAGCATAATATTGTTTTATTCAACCAGTTCAATAAATTTAGTATTGAATCTGCACGAATATAATATTCTTTTTATCACATATATAAAATAAGAACAGTAAACTGTTAAAATGAGTAATTTTTCAATGACGCGCCTATAGTGTAACGCTAACATTAGCGCTCTTTAACGCTATGTTTCTATAAAGCGCAAATGACGTCACGTCAAAGTGTTATTACACTAGTGTAATATCGTTTTTATTAAATGGCTTTATTACACTCCTGCGCCGCGTTTTATGTGATAAACTTTTATATTAAATATATCACAGAAACTTAATAAAATGTAACACAGAATCCTGTATGCTTGCTTTATAAGGCCATTCGAGACTAGTATATCTAAAAAGTCTACATTCAGTGGCAACTCCCATACAATTCAATTATTTATATTATGATCATATATCTCAGATTTGAAAAATTGGACATCACTCCAAAGAGTGCACAAAAGATTAAGCCGGTGTTAGAAAGATGGATGCTGGAGGCTGAGGAGAGATACAAAAATGGGATGCAAAACCTTACTGAATTTATTGGCAGCGAGCCATCAAAGAAACGTAAAAGGCGTACATCATTTACACCCCAAGCTTTGGAACTGCTGAACAAATTTTTTGAAAGAAATACTCATCCATCAGGTGAGATATTTTAAATATTTTCATAACATTTACAAGTTGAGTCTTCCTTGTCAAAAAAGATATTAAGGTCTCTGACAAATAGGTTATGCTTAGGAATTTATCCAGATGCTAATGTTAGACTTTCTGAATTTAAAACAAAGTTTACAAGTGTAAAATCCTTTACCAGCTAGTTTAAACAAATCTTACCCATGCTATCAGTGGAGACCAAGGTCTTCATGCTGTCTGATCATGGTTTGCACTGTTTGCTATTGGTTAAGTTCATATTTTGAAATTTTCCCTAAAAATGATGGTTATGTCCAGATTGTAAGATAAGGCATGTCCATTTAATATATTTAATTTGGTAAGGGCTAAATAATTGCTGTATTGAAATGTAACATTGAAGTAGCAAACTGTAACAAAGTCAGCAGTTGAATGGTACAGATATATTGGGCTAGCCTGGCCTAGTACTGTTTACAATAGTCAAGTCATTATTGCTATAAATGACTAAATGTTATGTCAATAGTGATTCACAATAAAAATGGTTTAGATATCTTTATTGTCACTAACACATGAAGTATGTAATTTATGAAATAAATTATATCAACAATGTGTAAAAATTTTAAATTTACTTAATCGGCTTTCAGGTAAATGATGTGATATTTTATCTCACTATGGCATGTTTTGATTATGCTAACTTTCTTTTACCTACAGGTGCAGAAATGACAGAATTAGCAGACAAGTTAAATTATGACAGAGAAGTTATCAGAGTTTGGTTCTGTAATAAAAGACAAGCTTTGAAAAATACCATTAAAAAGCTGAAGCAAGAAGGGCCATGATTGGACTGTCCATTTGTAAAAAGGATTGTGATTGGTTAGTTCAGCAAGACTTCAAAATCTTGTTCTCAGTACTTCATTTGAAACCTGAGCTGTGATTGGTCACTTCAGGTGCAGGAAAGAGTTGTGATTGGTTAAAATATGAATCTCAAAGCAATGGACCAGTTGTTGTGTTAGATTTAGCATTTATTGTTTAAGATTTTTCTTGACATGTATTTGTTGGCAGATTGAGGTAGCAATAGCCAGGAACCAGTATATAAAGTGCAATGAGTTGTGAAACTTGAACAAACAGTTTAAGGAGGGTGTCATTTGAAGCCAGAATGTCTCTTCCATGCTGTAATCTGCTATAGATGTTAGTTTTAAAATATTGACTGTTTTTGTATTAAATATGAAAAGTTCATACTTAAGTGGAGTGAATTGCTAAACTTTTTTTTTCTCTTCAAGTTATTGAGGCAGCTTTCATGTTAGTATTTATTTAAGACTCTTTTATTTTTTTATTTTTTTTGTTGGAGCTATGGCTTTGTAAAATTTGAGAAGCATCTTTTTTATTACAAGATGACTCTGGGTATCAGTGTTCAAGACTTTTATGTATTATTATTTTTCTTTTTAAACTATGTTTAAGTTTGTCAAAGAGTTATGACCCTTTCCATACAATAATTAAGATTTTTTACATAAATCACTTTGCAGGCAATCTTTTCAGTTATTATAGTAGATGTGCAATCTATAGATTTTTTTTCATTTTAAATGCCTGTATCTCTAAATTGTACGGGTATATGAGAATGTATTTTATACATAGCAGTTGCTATATGTATATATGGTTTTGTGCTGATCTTTTCAATAGAAGAAATTTTTATTGAATCTTTTACTCTTATCATCTCATATATAATTTTTGTGAGATATTTTCACATTAATTTCAAGCATCATACAATTATGATATTATTTTGATAATTTTTTACATGACACATCTCCAGTTGGTTTTTAAAGGATATTTAATTTTGGTAACCTTTTCACATGATGCAAGTTGTATTGGTCAGAAAAAAAAAAATGAATTGAAGTTACCTTTTTATTCATGTATTGTCAAATAATAGTAATTTTGAAGGACACAGCTTATGCTGGTTAGGTCAATAACTAGGACGTTCTCTCACAAAATGTGTAGAGCTATCTGATCTCATTCATTCTATTTTCTCCATTTCATACTTTATAAAACTAATAAACATTAGTTCATTTTAAGACATCATATAAAAAGAGTAAACATAGATTCTAACTTTATTTTCTCTAATTTCGCAAAGATTTTAAGATATCTAGACATCATTTCCTGAGTTAAGCTTAAAGCTACATGTATACTGAAAACATTTCATAGATGAGTAACATCTCATCTCCATGTAAGTGGTTTGATTTGACCTAAGAATTTAAACAAAAGTCATAAACATGGATCCTTACCTTGCTGAAACTGAAACTGATTAGCAGTTGACACCAGTATAGAGATAGGGCTTACTTTCTTCATTATCGATATCTCTATATTAAAAGTGGATAGTCCCAGATATGGAAGCTGTGCATATTCATTTAAAGTGGATTGGTCTACAATGGGCACATTTTCCATAAACATTTCAAATCTCGATAAAAACAATAGAAATGTATCATTTGGATTTTTTTTTTAAATGTTGCTTGAAGACAAAAATAAAGGTTATAGAGTTCTAAGTGATTTAGTTTGAATTTTTATAAGATAAATAATAGTATTTTATTTGTAATACATGTATATTATTAGTGGTAAGGTTATATGACCCTATGTAAACGGCTATTAGTAAATATGACCCGAGCTGCTAGGTGAGGGTTATATTGCAAACAGCCGTTTATATACGGTTATATAACCTGTCAACAATCTTTATTACGAATTTATAATACAGCAAACATCATTTTTTAGAGAAAAAAGTAAGATTCCTTCATAATCGACAGCAGCCGTGTATATAAAACTATATAAACATCACGACTATCAAATGAAAAGCGACTTTACAAACGTGCACTATTATAATGAATGATGTATCTTACACTTGCCAACAATATCCAAATACAGTTATATTGTGGTTTGTTGTTATGTCTGATACTAAGTATTACCATTGTAATTATTTATTGTATTACAGATCTTCCATTATAGACCAATTCACTTTAAGATAATCAGTAGCTTAAGGGTTAAATTATAGAAAAATCTACATACCAGTGTTTATTTAAAGATCTTTATATACCATTGATGATATTTAAGATATTTTGTTCATGTATTTATTGTATATTTATTAAATTAATTTATTTGTTATATTTTGTTGTATATAAGAATCAATGGCATTTAATTATTCTGAAAGATTTTCTTCAGCATTTTTTTATGAAGAACTGGTATCCTGGTTAGGAAAAATTTACAATATTAAAATTTAAGGAGTTATTTGTGCAAATATAATATCCTAAAACTTACTTAAAGCTTGTATATTTACATTAATCTATATATTAAGCCAATACTGAATTTTGAAAGGCAAGAGCTGGCTACACATAGTTGTGGACTTCCATAAATCCATAAATCAGAGCAAGGACAGATCTAGCCCTTCATATATGTATATTTTATTTCCTAACATAGGATTCATTGTGCAATATTCATTTAACATAGAAACAGGGTGTTTTCCTATATGAGATGATGTAATTTTCCTCCACAACCTTTATTTTGTAATCCATTCAGTGTTGTGTATTAAATATGAGCCGCGTCATGACAAAACCAACATAGTGCGTTTGTGACCAGCATGGATCCAGACCAGCGTGCGCATCCGCGCAGTCTGATCAGGATCCATTCTGTTCGCTATCAGTTTCTCTATTTGCTGTAGGGTTTGTAAGCGAACAGCATGGATCCTGACCAGACTGCGCGGATGCGCAGGCTGGTCTAGATCCATGCTGGTCGCAAATCCATTATGTTGGTTTTGTCATGATGCGGCTCAAATATTAGTTTTGTGTTTGCAGGCTTCCATTAATGTTATACAAAATATGTGATTTTTTTTTAGTGCATTGTCAATTAGATTTACTCTTGAATTTTCTTCTGCAAAGTTTCAAAGATCTGATACACAATTTTATCAAGAAAGATGTAGAAATTGTTATAAAGCAAGCCTCTAACCAGATTAATTACATTTTTCATGGATGAGTTTATAAAATCTAAATATATGACAATTGTCAAATTCTTCTAACTGCATGAGATAACATATTGAAATCAATTGTGTATGCCATTTTTCTTATGAAATGTAAGGCAAAAGAAACATCATTACATTGTTATACTACACATGTGAAATATATAGAAATACGTAATGCTAATGTAACATTAAAAACAAGCAGAGCTTTCTGATTAAGTGTTCGCTATGAACTTTAAAATATTTGTCAGTTTTTAACCATGAATGCTAATACAATGTACATGTCTATGGACAGTAAAAATATGTAATGAGTCACTTCTTTAAACCCACAATTTAGTAAACCCTTTAATTGTGTTAGTAACAGAGTATTAATGGGCAACAGAAATAGTCCATTGTGTCATATATTGCATAATTTATTTAGAATGCCACTATCATTGTAAATATCTATATATTTATAACATTATATTAATTAAGTTTGATTTTTTTTAAGGATTTCTTTACTTTTTAGGAGGCTGGCAGCTTTAAGTATGAGAAATTCCTTTTTGTCATCAATATTATGATAACATGTTTTACAAGTATAGTGAGAAATATCTTGTGCAATAACAATTAAAATGTATGCTACAATATAGTAGTGTTACCTCTGTAGAGATATAGAGAATCTGTCGAGCAATTACCTTTACACAACAGTATCAACAGTAAACCCTCTTGAAATATTAATGAAAATGTCTAAATTTAAAACAACAGAAGTCTAATTCAGAAAGTTAAGGTTTTAAAGTTGATAATATAGATTAACATATTGATATATCACTGATATTTTAAACGGGGTTGTTTTTATTTTCTCTGCATTATTAAATATACAAGAGAGATGGGTTTGATTGTACACTGTTTCTTAAACATGTTATATAAAGAGAGTGTGATATTGAACTCTAGAAGTTATGACCAAAACATACACATATTTCTACTCAGTATCATCTGTACTATATGATCATTATATCATTATCTTCATTGTATCTTTTCATTCTATTTATTTTGCATTTTTATAAACTTTTTTTTTTTATTCATCTATGTTTTGTGCATTTTGTTTTTAAACTGTTTTCTTTTTCTACAAAAGGATATTTTCATTGCACTGTTAGTATGTTTTAACTTTAAAATGTGTAATGTGTCAGTAAATATGTGTGTTTTATAGAGTTTTTATCACATAGATCGGTAAGTTTTGGATAATGTTTCTCAAAAATCCAAAAAAATGTTTTGTATTACATATTAAGATAGTTAGATTATGATACATATAGTTAGGGGTAGAAAGAATAATTTTCACCATTTTTAAGTAGGGTTTTAACAGGTATCAATAATTTTGTGCATGCATGCACAATTTGCTCTTTAAAAAAAAAATCAAAGAAATAATATTATATTAACAACAAATTTCTTTCATAAAGACATTCGATACTTATTTTTCTTCAAAAATGAAACAAATTTTGTGTAAATTACAGGCAGCATAGATTTAGCTTTAAACGCTTTATCCATTAAACTGTTGGAAACGAGAAAAAGAACAGTCTGAGGAGGCTCTAAACTGTTGGTTACACAGTTTTTGTACTTTGATATTGAAATCTTTGAATGGACAGTTCCAAAAACTTGGCAAATCCATTGCACAAATTCAGCAGGTTAATGGTTAAACCCATTAAAATAATAATATATCATAATAGTATAAAGCAGGGCAAAATTTTTTAGAAATTTTAATAGTAGAAATTTGAAAACAAAAACTGTAAAAAAAAAAACCCATATATTTGTATTTAAGGGGTTTTTGAAAACTTTTGGTTTTTCGGGATTTGTTTTCCCAGGGCCCACTTTTCAGAAAATTTCTGCGGTGTATTTTTTTTTTGTTCTGTCTGCCCAGAAAAATTGTTTGACCATTTTTTGGGTTTTTTTTAACTTTTTAACCCAATCCGAAAACCCTGTTTAAAAAAGGGGGAAAGCTTTAAGTTTTGAAATCCAGGGGCCCTTTTGGTTTTTGTTTGGGCTGACCACTCAGATATACGTCTATATGTTTTTACAGAAAGAAACTTGAAGTGAGCTTTATTTATTTATTGAATCCACATTGAAATATAACCTGGACCCTTAAATGACCAAGGTAAAAAATTTTTTTTAAAAAATTTCAAAAAATTTGTTTTTTTGGTTGAAAGCAAATATAGGACAAGGGTTTTTTTGGGGTTTTTTTTAAACTAACACTCCTTTTTTTAATTTTTGACTTTTAATTTTAATTTTTTAAAAATTTTTTATATATGTTCATTATGGGTATTTGTTAGTCATTACAAGGTGCTATATTTTTCTTCTGTCTTTATTTTGTAAAACATGTTTTTTTATGTTGCTTTATTATGATAATTTATTTTATGTAGATTGTGAAATTTATTTACAGTTTTAGGCTTCATTATCCAGCGTGTTTTATTTCTTCATTGAAACAAAACATTTATTAAAATGTGCAGGAAAATGTAACAAGTGTTGTGGAAAAAAATGATAATTTCATTATGATTTATGTGTAATACATGTATATACTGTAATATATTTACAGAATTAACAATGTATATAGGTGACTGATTGACTAATATCATATTTCAATGATCTAAACATGTCAGTGTGTCATATTTAGGGTAAAACGTACAAGTAATTAAATGGTATACCGTCAATAAGCCATCAAACTAAGGTAAAAAAAACTTGTAGTTTTTTAAAATCCTCTATATAATTTGAACATTAGCAACATTCAATTTATCCCAGTAGAATTGTCACACCTAATAAATTCATGATGGAATGTCAACAAAAATCAATTATTATCCATATTATATACATTATCTAAATTTAGACCGCTCTGCAGATATATTAATTCTGCCATTGGTTTATTTAAAATCAGACAACCAATCAGATTCCAGTCTGTTTGATTGGTAAAGTTTTATAGTCAGATAATTCATTTACAGTGTTCTCATGTAATTTCAATGATTTCAGGATTATTTATGCCAGTCGTTAAGATTCATCTAAAATGATGATACTGTTTTTGTTGATTAGGTGACATAGACTATTTACATTATGTATTACTTAAATTAAGATTAAACAATTACTTGACCTCCTAGAAGTATTAATTTAAACAAGTTGAAATTCATGTTGTCATTAGAAATTTACTTATTTTGCATTGTAAACCATATTTAAGACATGTTCTGTCATATTTGCAAGAATAATTTATATTTGCCAGGCTAGTTGTGAATGTATTTATGTAATTTATATTTGTCAGACAAGTTAGAATTTGTCAGGCAAATTCATATTTGTCAGACAAGTTACAATTTGTCTGGCAAATTTAAATGTTTTGTATAAGTAAGAATTTGTCATAGCAAAATTGTTTTTGTTAGATAAGTTTCATTTTGTAAGGCAAATTTATATTTGTCAGACAAGTTGAATTTATTAGATAATTATATAATTTCACAGACAGTTTTATAATTGTTAAGCAAGTTGATATTTGTCAGGGATATTTACCTGATTGCAAAGAAAAAAAGTCAGACAAGTTTTTATTAGCAAGAAAAAGTTTATACTGTCAAGAGAAAGAAATTTAAAGGCAATTAAGACATTTTTAGCTCGACTTTTCTATGAAAAGGGGAGCTATCCTACTCGCCCCGGCGTCGGCGTCGGCGTCACACCTTGGTTAAGTTTTTCGTACCACCCCACTTTATTTCAGAAGTATTACAAGTATGGCTTTGAAACTTACCATACTTGTTCACCATCATAACCTCCATCTACAGACAAGAGTACATAACTCTGTCAAGGTTTTTGACAGAATTATGGCCCTTTTTGACTTAGAAAGTGTATTGAGCTTGGTTAAGTTTTTTGTACCACCTCACTTTATTTCAAAACCATTGGAGGTATTGCTTTTGAAACTGACCATACTTGTTTACCATCACGACCTTCATCAACAGACAAGAGGACATAACTCTGTCAAGGTTTTTTGACAGAATTATAGCCCCTTTTTTGACTTAGAAAATACATTGAATATGGGTAAAATCCACTTATTGCCTTAACCCTTTGAGATATTGCTTTTGAAACTTTTAATGCTATTTCACATCATTACCCCCATCTGTACGCAAGAGAAGGTAACTCTGTCAAGGATTTGTTTTAAAAATTAAGGCCTTTTTATCGACTTAGAATCTTGGTTAAGTTTTTAGTACCAGTCCACTTTTTGACTGAACTGTTTGAGATATTTAATTTGAAAGTTGGAATACTTGTTTACAATCATGATTCCCAAACATGTCCAGGAGAAGGTAATTCTGTCAAAGATTTTATTTGAATTATGGCCCTTAACTGTCAATGTTTTGTATTATAGGCAAGCACTAAAAAACTTAAAAAATCTAAAAAAATTCATTCCTATCCACTGAACCTGCAGTGTTCAAGGGTATCACACAATTCAGTAAAATAATTCTTCACTAAATATCTTAATGCTCATGGCCATTGTTCACTTTAAAAATACAGAGATTCTTGTATTGCCTTTTACTGCAAAAACTTTTTTTATTGGCAAGCAATAAAAAAGTCGAGCGCGCTGTCTTACGGACAGCTCTTGTTATATGTGTTATATGAAGTGTTAGACAGCTTGTTTTTGAAAATATGTACTTTAATGGATAAACATTTTTATTTTATATTTTTTTTTTGTTTGGCAAGCTGATATTTGCCAGACACTTATATATTCCTGATAAGTTGATACTTGCCAGGCTAGTTGATATTTGTCAGGCAGGTTGATATTTGTCAGACAAGTTGATATTTGTTAGACAGGTTGATATTTGTCAGGCATGTTGGTATTTGTCAGGCATGTTGGTATTTGTCAGGCATGTTGGTACTTGTCAGGCATGTTTGTACTTGCCAGGCGAGTTGATATTTCAGGCAAGTTGATACTTGTCAGGTATATTGATATTTGTCAGGCAAGTTGATATTTGCCTGACAAGTTAATATTTATCAGTAAAGTATGATTTGCAATAGCCGTATAAGACAATGGTGGGATAATGATGTTAGTGTGTGTTATTTATGTGTAATTATGTCAGTTATTGTATTATGTATTTTCTGTTAAAAAGTGCAATCATTTTTATTTGAATTCCAAATGATTAAAAAAGAAATTTATATAAAAATAAACCCTGTTTGTTATATTTTTGTCTATAAATGTTGTTTAAATACACACAAAATTTGTAGGAGCCTTTGGCTGAGTGGTAAAGGTCATTGGTTTTGAATCATTTGCCCCTTATCACTATGAGTATGAGTCTCAGCCAGAACACCTGGATCCTTTTAAGTGAGGAAGTAATTCAAAAAGATTTAGAAAGGTTTTCAGTTTAACTCTGGTGTCCACATATGCTTGAGATAATGCAAGAAGGGGTAAGTGGAATAAAAACAAACATATAGGCCAAAATTTTGGAAAATTATCTTTAATGGTAATTACAAACAAATCCAGTTAGGCTAGGCATTACATATATATATGTGTCGCTACAGGAAAAATGTCCTAAAAAAATCGAAGTATAAAATGCTTAAAATTTCATGTGAGTTTTCAATTAGAGAAATCTAAAACCCAGATACTCTACAAAAAAGTCATAAATTAATACACAAACATGCTTCATTTAATCTAAAATACTCCAACCGAAGTGCATTACATTCAAAAAGTCGCAACACTGCATAA